CTGCTGGGGATGTCCCCAGGACACGGGGGTTTCTGGGCTCCAGTGCACACTGCCGGGTCGTGTTCAGCTTCTCCCCCCCCGCACCCCCAAGTCCTTCTCCCCAGGGCTGCTCTCCAGACATGATGTCAGAGCTGAGTCCCCTTCTTCTCTGAAGTTCCTGAAGGTGGAGAGCTGACAGCTCCTAACCCGACTGTGCCTACGCACTGAAGAGATGACGTGAGCACACGGGACTGATTCCCCCACCTTGGCTCTTCCTGACCATTCCCCAGCGTTAATCAATCCTTCACAGGCAGGAGTTGTTCAGGTGACTGCTCTCTGTCCTGAAATGCCCTTTTTGCTCCCAATCCTACCAGGATCCGATGTCCGTCAGAACCTGCAGCAGCTGTTAAGGGAACGATTACCCGACTCTTACCTGTAGAGTCCCAACCAGTCGCCCTTCAGCACGCAGGTGAGTTGAGGACCAGCATGCTCAAGGGTCTTCATGAAATCTTCCTGGCGGAAAGGACGGATCTGCGGAGGATTCTGCACAACAGAAAGACCGTGTTACACGGCACCCACAAGAACCAGGGGGGAATGAGCTCTGTATTTCCAATGGAAGAGGCTGCACAAGGCAGACTCAATAGCTACATGAAAAAAAAATGCAATAACGTCTTAACCAGCCTTGCAAGTAAAATTCAAATTAGCCTCACAATAGCTGAGCTTACTGCAAAACAGGAAGCATCTGTCCCAATGTTTGTTTCAACTTTTTTTTTTTTTTTTAAAGGAGTAATAACCCTCTTCCTTCAGCGAGGGAAGTTCACCCAGAGTATCAGAGAACGTGATCAGCATATGGCACAACTATTCCCAATCCCCACCGTCGAAGGAAAGCAGAAGCGACTGGAAAATTGAACACACCTTCCATGGAGTAATGGCCCTCTGCAGAGGCATCAGACTTGCAATATAATGCTCCTAAAAAAAAAATTAAAAAATAATAATAATTTTTTAAAAGTTACAACACTGAAGGAGCCTCTTGCATGGTCACTGAGTGTGATGGTCTCCTCCCAACGCACCACAGGCTCCACCAACACTTTCCTAGTCTGGTTTTTTCTTCACAGTTGCATTTTACATGAGCCCAAGCGCCCCAGCTTGTTTCCACCAGGGGCTAGGTCACAACACTCTGCTCCAAGAGCCCTAAGCATGCCATGGCAGAAAGGTCAGGTGGGAAAAAGGTTGCAGGAGGGACTAGAATCTGAGAATCATAAAATCATAGATTCATTAAGGCTGGAAAAGACCTCAAGGATCATCAAGACCAACCATCAACCCAACCCCACCCAACCCACTAACCCATGCCCCCAGGCACCACATCCACACGTGTCTTGACCCCCTCCAGGGATGGTGACTCCCCCACTCCCCTGGGCAGCCTGTTCCAATGCCTGAGCACTCTTGCAGTGAAGAAATTTTTTCTAATATCCAGCCTAAACCTCCCCTGGTGCAACCTGAGGCTGTTTCCTCTTGTCCCATCACTTGTCAATTAGAGAAGAGGCAGCACCCACCTCACTGCACCCCCCTTTGAAGATGTTCTGTCCTCCCATGTACCACCTCCTAAGGTGATGTAGAAAAGCAAGTGGAGGAGCCAAACTTGGCCAACGGGATGGTCACTAAAAAAGCATAATCAGCTTCCCAGTGGGACCAGGCAGGGAAGGCTTGGAAGGAAGCACTCCCTAAAATCTGCCCCAGGGGGCAACCACCATGGGGGCCTCTGCAGCTCTACAGCAAAGCTCCCCAAAGCCAGAAGAGAGGGTTTCCCACTGCAATGGGTTTGAACCCAGTGTTAGAGGGCAAGAAGAACATTTTTGGCTCCCATCCCTTCCCTATATATCTGCTTTGACTCCCTGGTGAAAAGAGCAAAGAGCTGGCGTTAGAATTGAAGAACATGGAAGACCTCTTCCCACACTGCAGGAAACGATGTTCTGGCTTCACACGCAGTGTGCTGAGAACCCAGCCTGCAGATGTCTATGCTAATTACTGAAATTGGTGTTCAAGAGACCTTTAGGTCCTTTCCACTGAGTAAAACGTCTCTATAGGGTGCCACATCCTCCGTCTATCACAGATGCTCAGCTACGGGTGAACAAAAGAGGGCAAGCGCAAACCTGTCACTCGAGCAGCTCCCATTCACACCTTCCCACTGCTCCGACAAGCCTCTGCCCAACTCACCAGGGGGATAATGAAACTCTGGGTGAGCTCCAGGAGGTGACGCCTCAGAAGGGCACTCTGGACTTCAGATGGGCGTTTCCGCTGAATCCCCTGCGGGCACAAGCAGGGCACTCACAGAGGGGCCAGCCTCTGTTTCCCAGGCAGGCGACGCATTTGCAAACACCGCAGCTAGAAGCAACCAGTCCAGGGCGGTCTGGAAAACCCAACCGCCCAAAATACACGTCCCACTCTCTAGATCACTCCCATTTCACTACACAGGATCTGTTTTTTCAGACTCTTTTTTTGGCAACCAGTGTTCTCACTCAGGTTATCATTAGCACCAGCACTTAATCCATAACATCATGTGAAAAATTCTAGAACTGGCGTGATCAACATGTGCAAGCAGACTTGACTAAACCATTGCACACCGTAAAAGTCTGCTTCTTTTGGAGAGTTGTGTCTGTTAGCACGGTTTTCTCATAATGACGTACAGGATGTGGGGTAGAGTGGCAACTGCTTACCTTTAGTAATCTTTTTATCAGGGTTTTGTCTTTGTGAAGGAATGTTTTATAAGAAGTATAGATTCCTAGATTGAAAAAAAACCCAACAAAAACGAGTTAAAACCAAAACTTTGCCCACATATCTAGATGAGGCTCTATTATCATCTAGTGCAGGGATAACAACTGCAATTCCTCGCACAAACCCTGGCAGCTCTGTATAATTACAAAAATTATAAACAAAGAATTACAAAATGTATGAAATTGCTAAAGCAGCCAGAACTCACAGCAGGACTGAAGGACACTGAACTACCTCAAGGACCTTCTTATGCTAATTATGGCGAGATAACTTGCTGGAGTCAGCTGAGGGCTCGTTAAGTGACAGATAGCCCTACCTAGGAAAGCAAGTTCCTTTGACTTCCATCGCACCTAAAAAGCAGGTATGACATATAAAATAAAACAAAAAAAAAGTAGAAGCTGTTCTCCCAACGCTAAAATAATTTGTTCAATGAATTTATATCAGCTTTTTCAACCTCCAAACAAAGATGCCCAGTTTTTCTGTGTTAGATGGGGGACGTGTAGCAGATCAAGTGGGAGAAGACGATGGCGTTGGAGAAGACGGCAACACCAAAACGTCCCTTTGTTGAGACGCAAAGAATAACGTATGCAACGTTCCCACGCCTGCAAAATCCCCCACGTGGAAAGGTAAACACAACTAAATTATGTGTGACAAAAGGACTTACCCGGTTTTGTGTCCAGGGTTTTTAGTTTCGCTGGCTTCTTCACCTTGACTTGCTTGGGCAGGTCTCCTGCGGGAAGACATCAAACAACTCGCTCAGGCTCTGAACCTACCCTCAGAGCCGCGGCACGCACAGGAGACACTTCGCTCTTGAGAACACTCAGTCCTACACTTGCACATCTGAAATCATACCCTCCCTTAACTCCACCCTCAGGTAAGCCTTCTGGTCTACTGACTTTCCTGAAAATGGAAGAAGAAAGTGTTAGGGAGGCATTGCATACAGCCCCACTCAACCAAGAGGTTTTCTTGGCCTCACAGATAACAATCAGAGTCTCTCTCCACCTCTCTCTTCTTTATACAGTTTTCTCTTTCCTGCCTAGGAAGGACTCTCCTTTCCTCACGCTTCAGAAAAAAACCACAGCAAGTTTTTCTCTCAAAAATTCATCTTCCCCATTGTTTCTGCCCATCCCAGGCAGTCCAGATGAGTCAGAGGCTGACCTCCCTTTGGTTTCCCAGCTCTCCCAGGGATGGGGATGTGTAAAACGACGGCAGCTGTCAGCCCACCGTTAGCCTCCGACCCAGCACGCCAGGACCGCGGTTCCACGCTTACCCGACATTCGGAGCTCCCCCACCCGAAGAATGTGCGGCCAGTGCTGCAGGGTTTTGATAAAGAAAGGGTTGGTGACTCCCACAACGATGTTTGGCCTAGAAAGAGGGGGAAAAAAAAGGCAGAACAATGCAAACCTGAGGGTTTCCTTCACACAGACAGCGGCACGCGTGTGGCAAGGGTCTGCCGGCTACTCACGGAGCCTGTGTCCGGGTGGTGTACTCTTTAAATTCGCTGTCGTGGATGGTGAAGTAGGGGCGGTAGTCACAGCAGTACCGCAGAGGAGCCAGGCAGCTGCAACGACAGACGGGATAGCTGCACCCAGGCTTCCCAGCGGGGGAGGAATGGGTGCTCACATCGGGTTTGGTCCTAGAGGAGTGCTTCGTCCTGCCAGAGGTAACACTCTGGAGGAGTTCCAGGCTTTGCTTTTTTCGCTAAAGCAGAGTTCAAAGCTGGGGAGAGAAAGTTCATCAGGGCTATGAACCATCGGGTCTCCCAACGTGGGAGCTTCACTTTTCACTTTTCTCTACCACGGGTGGAACAGGCGCAAGACTGTCTTGCGACGCTATTTGTCTGACGTGCTTCCATAGGCACGCTACATCTGGCACAACTCGGCAGAAGAGTGGATGTGAAAAACTGTCAGAATTCATTAGCACAGCGACCTGTAGCTCAGGATTGGAAAGCGATACCTGGTAAGAGCCAGAACCATTTCTGAAGAAACCGTAGGAGATGGTGCCATGACAACAACCGGCTCGCCAAGTAACATCAGCTCCCACAGCATCTGGATGTGAATTAGCACGGGCTGGAAACACCTGGTAGGGAA